CCACACTGTGGGCAGCCTGGATAGCCCAAGCTAGCTCAGTCTTGTCATATCTCAGACACTAAGCAGGGTTAGCCTTGGCTAGTATTTGGATGGGAGATGTCCAATGAATACCATCCTCGTGATGTGAAGCCAGGCAGTGGCAAACCGCCTCTGAATTGTTTTTTTGCCTTGAAAACCCTCCAGGGTCGTCGCCACAAGTCACCTGTGACTTGGCAGCAACAAGGACAACAAATTGTCTGTTATACTGGTCACCTCTGAACAGACTGATGCACCCAACAGGTTTATTGGTGGGATTCCTCTGACTCTTTTGCTCCTGCTGACATTTCTACCGGCTCTCTCCTTTTCTCTCAGCTACATGCTGGGGTCCAAGACCAGGTTGGGGCCGTTATTCTGAGCCTTTATTGTGTTAAAAAAAAAAAGATGTAGAATTTTCCCACAAAGCTCGAGGCATCTAACAAACAGCCTTAAAACAGACTCATTAAAAGCAGTAAACCGCATGCCTACTTGGGCAGCACATATACTAAAATTGGAACGATACAGAGGAGAAAAACAGTAAACTGCCACCATCTCGCACTTACTAAAAAGTAAACGGTACAGAAACAAAAAACCAACAAAAGATCCTATGCACCTCTTTCCTCTGCTTGGGGACTGGAAGGAACTGGCCATCACAGCCAAAGTGGCTAAGGCTCCTGGAGATTTTGGGAAGGAGGTTCCCCTTTAACTAGCAGCTTGGCTTGCTTGCCTGAGTTATTCAAAGCAGATATCTGCTATGCAGGTACCTGCTCTTTGCACATGGCACTCTTTGGCCTGTGATGTAGAAATCCTGTTCTAGTCTTCTCCTATAGGAACTGCCAGCTCACCTGAATCATCACAGAAGCTTGTTCAGAGTAAGTATCCCTTTGGAGGCCAGGTTGGTGGTGTCAAGAAACAAGGCCTATAGAGATTCAACAGGATAACTCTCTTTGGGTCTGGGGAAGACAGTAAAGGCCTGAAAAGCTTAAGTGTGCTGGTGCGTCCTATCATATCTGCACCTGGTACCACTGTTTTGATTTTGCTTACTGATGCTTTTTGTTATTTTAATGTTGCTTTTTTATAAGCTTCATTACTTTGACTGTGCCATTGACATTTAATATTATCTTAATTTTATATTGCACGTGAACCACTTGGGGACTCCTGAAAAGAGAGACATGAACATTAAAATAACAGAGAGAAACCAGATCCTCCCTTTGGCTACGCTGGATTTAACACCCCTTTTGCTTCTGCTCCATTACAACTGAGCATTTCATTTTGCCAGTCTTAACATGCAGTGGCAAAGTGTGCAGAACAACTGCGCTTCCATGCACACCGCACTCCATCTCCTACACACCAAAGTATGGTTTGCTCCTGCTGCAATATTGTTATGAGTCATTTTTTAGGTTGCTCTAAAAGTGCTCTCGTTTACAGTGTCTTAAAGCCGCCTCCTCCATACACACGCACAAAGCAAATGCGTCTTTTCCGAATGGCTCACAGCTTGCCTCGCAGACCCTTGGGGAAAGTGGCAATTACAACACGGTGTACTTAATCTGCAAGCCAAACATCTGTCTGGACTGACTCAGGACCTTGTGCCATTTCTGTTCCTGGGAGCTATCCTGCTGTGGTAATTACACCAGCAGAGGGCCTCTTTCCCCCGGCATCAGGTCTCTGTCTTCAGCTCCGGTACTGGTTGATCACAGTAATTCCCCTAGATCAACACAGTTGGCTACACAGCTATTCATCTTACACTTCTGCAGCTTTTTACTCTCCTTTCGGTCTTCCTCCTACTTCAGCCCAACCTGCTCCCATCTGCTCTCCAGGTCCCTACCAGCCAGCCTCCAGGTGGGACCTGGGGCTTCCCTAGAATTACAGCTCATCTCCAGATTACAGAGATCAATCCCCCCAGAGAAAATTGTACCCCACTGAGATCCCTGTCAATCCCAGGATCCATCCCCAAATCCCCAGGAATTTCCCAACCTGGATCTGATCTGGCCCCCCCCCCCCCCCCCCCCCGCATCCCCTGCTGGTGGCCAGGGGGAACCTGGCAACCCAGTCTCCAGGTCCCATCTTCTCCTTCCCTGATCTGAAAATCCCACCTTTAGCCACAGCATTGGGATCACCCTCTTACCATGTCTGCCCAAATTCACTTCTAGGACAGATATCAAGGACAAATTACTCTACGCCACCAATTTCAGTGCTTGTTGGAACGAACCCTGCCACTACTTACTACACCACCCCTGACTATCTCTTTCATCTGGCATGGTTAAGGAGGACATCAATGAATGCTCAGGGTGTTTCTGTTTTTACAGCCAAAAGAGCCATGCTTTATAAAAAGAAATGCAGTAATTAGAAACTTTGCCCCCTGGATAACATGCTGCTATTTAGAGACACAGCTGGTGTGTGTCTGAGTATATGGAGGGGACTTTTCAACAGAGATAAGCATATATAAATATCCCCCCCATGCACAAACATACACATGAATATTTGTCCAGAGTAAACAGTATTTAAATATTGACCCTTGTCTGTCCGCAAGCCTCTGCCGTAACGCTGATTTCCCCAGTTCCAGAAAAGCAGGTCTCTGGAACGTCAAAACACAGCTTATATTATCCTTTCAAATATTTTCAGGATTAAAGCTTTCAAACAGCACATTGTGAAAAGTGGGGGCTGTGGGGGGCCTGATCCATAGCACCTCCCAGCTGACTGCAGAATGGACGAAAATGGGGCCTGATCCTAATAACCGGTAGGAGTTAATGAGGATCCATTCTCTCTCGTCACTATGCAAAAGTTATGCTGGAGGAAATAATGAGGCTCTATTGAAATTCCACCAGGAGGGAAAGAACTCTTGAACTGAAAAGGCTATCAAGTGCATGAGACATTGGCCTTTTTGAAGGCATTTTCTCCCTTCCTTCCATCTCTTATGCAAAGGATTTCCTCCGTTTTTTAATAGGCTGGCTTTCTCTATGGCTTGGCACAATAGAGTTTCCTGTATCTGAAGCAGGGTGGTGAAGCAGGTATAAGTTGTATTTTCCCTGCAGTGGAGCAGAGATTTTGGATTGCGCAACTAAGGGGAACCACTGAAATCCTTAATCTTGTTCTGCGGACACTGACCAGGGCATGGGGAATGCACAGAGCTTTACTTGATCCAAGAAAACAAATTAATTAATTAAGGGATGGCCATCGTGTTCTTATATCAAGTTATTTCTGGCAACTCCATCAGCACTAGATAGGAACTAAAACCAAAAATCAGTATTTTACACAGTGGGCAGTATGTGAGCAGGAGAGTCAGGATGAAGGGGTCCAAGCAAAAGAGGAAACTTTGTTTTAAGGGGTTTCGTTGAACTGATTACATACAACATTCATTTTTGTGCCTGGGAGATATCTGGAATTTTATTTTATTTTATTGTCCTTTGGTCTTCCTGATATTTCAAGTAAGTTCTAGCTAACATCTTCCTCTTACAAAAAGTCACAAGGAACTGTAAAATATAATCTATGAAAAAGAAATGGGTGAAAAACTAGTGTTGGATATGATTGGTAAATTGGTAGATAAACACAGACACAGAGAGACATAACGATAGATAGATGAATGATGGTAGATAGGTCGACAGACAGATGATAGAGGATAGATAGATAGATAGATAGATAGATGATAGATGGATAGATAGATGATGGATGGATGGATAGATGGATGGATGGATAGATGGAGAGAGAGATGGAGAGAGAGAGAGAGAGAGATCCAGTTATGGCCTCCACCTATTTCCATATAACACCCCTAAGGAAATTCTGAGAGAAAACCTTCTGGAATCTGCCTGGCTACTCGGCTGGTAGGATAAGACAGGATTCCTCACTTTCTTTAGTGACTGTTCTTTTTGGCACAACGAACATTGGGGGGGGGGGCATCAAAGGTAAGCAGCAGCTGATAAAAATGTCTCTTGTTCATTTGAAGACTGGGAAATTTTGCTTTACCAAATCCCCACCCCACCCCACCAGCCCTGGCAGAAGGCGGCAGCCTAAACTCAAGGTGGTGCAGAATTTACAGACAAAAAGAAATCCTTGAAATTTAAGTGCTGATTATGTCAGCACAGCGCTTGATCGCCGCACAGGCTGATCAAAGGCGCTGAAAGAGTTAACGCCAAGAGAATAAGAGAGAGGGGGGGAGATGTTTGAGTTGACACTTAAACAAGGGAGGAGGGTCCTCCTGGCTTCTGATTGGCTTCGACTCCCATCCAAAAACTCCCCCCCCCCTTTCATTTCCCCTCCTCCTGCTCTCCGGGTCCCAGGGGAGGGGACTGTGGAATAGTGAGAGAGATCAAAAATAAACCTCTTATGTCAAAGCCGGGGGAAGAAAGTATAAATACTGAGGTCCCTGCAGCCCTCTTTGGTGCTTCAAAGTCTCTGGAAGGAGTTACCCAGGGGGAGAGGGAGAGAGAGATTCCTAGGGAGAAACACTCAGAGAAGAGAAGGGCAAGGAGAGAAAGGGAGAAGGAGAGAGAGAGAGAGAGAGAAATCAGAACCCCGCCTGCCAGCGCTTTCGCAGCTCAACGCTCTTTTTTCCAAGCAGACAACTCGCCTTTTCTTTTCTATGCTGGTGCTGCTACAGTCTCATATGATCCTGACATCGTCCCTTGGGGGGGGGGAAGTGGCGATCGGGCACCAGAAGAGAGTCCACACAGCCAACTTCTAGGTAGAAGGAATTTTTTCCCCCCAACTCTCCCTGCCGCCCTGCTGCTGCACTGGGCAAAGTAAAGCTCATTTCTCTCTCTCTCTCTCTCTCTCTCTCTTCCCCCCCCCCCTCCGGCTTTGTTCTCTTCCCTATCAAACGGGATTCACCCTTCGCAGACGGGTTGTGATTTTGATTGTCGCTGTTGTGTGTGTCTTCCCTTGCAAACTTCTAAAGCAGCTGGGAGTTCGTCTCTCCCCCAGTGCCTGCTGCGCTCTCGCTCTCTCTCTCCCAGCTGACACCGTTTGCTGGTTCCCAGCTCCTGGCACCGATGCCCCTTCCCGCTCATCAGCAGCCCCCCTTCCCCGGCGGGCTGGCACCTGCTCTCGCCCCCTTCCCCCTGCTGGGGATCCTGATGCTTCTTCACCGTGCCTGGGCATCGCCCGTCCAGAGTGGCGACTTCCAGGAGGTGGTGCCAGTCTGGACGGCATCTCCTCCGGACGGAGAAGGGCGCGTTGCCTTCTCTGTGGCTGCCTTTGGGAAGGAGTTTGCGCTGCAGCTGGTCCCCGACGCCAGCTTCTTAGCGCCCGGCTTGAAGATCCAGCACGTCGGGAGGAAAGACCCTGCCGGGACCCTTGCAGGGGAAGAGGAGGAGGAGGACGCGGGGACGGTGCGGAGGTGCTTCTACTCGGGGACGGTGAACTGGCAGCCGGACTCCCTGGTGGCCGTCAGCCTGTGCCAGGGCATCCACGGCTCCTTCTTGGTCGACGGGGACAAGTACCTGATGCAGCCCGGGCAAGGGAACCTCGGCGGAGACCCCCTGCTGCAGGTTCACCGGCTGCAGAAGCAGGGGTGGGGAGAGGACGCGCCAAAAGGAAAGGCCCGCGGGGAGCCCCGCGCCGCCAGCAGCAGAGCCAGGCGCTTCACGTCGGAGGCGCGCTATGTGGAGACCCTGCTGGTAGCCGACGCCTCCATGGTCCACTTCTATGGCGACGAGCTAAAGGTAAGGGGCTCTCCCGTGCCTTCCTCGGTCGAGGCTCAGAGCAGGTGCTTGGAGCCAGTGTTCCCTCTAGGCTGAGTTGGTGTGCGCCAGCTCCCAGTTTTTCAGCCTCTGGCTCACGCATGTGTTCTGGCTCAGGCATGTTTGTTTTTGCTCCAGGAAGGATGGCTCCAGAGCAATGTTCCCTCTAAGCTGGGTTAGTGTGAGCCAGCCCCCAGTTTTCCAGCCTCTGGCTCACGCATTTTTGTCTTCGCTCGGGAAGGCTGGCTCCAGAGCAAACTAATTTAGGCAGCAGCCAAATCGCTCACAACCTTGATGCCAGCCGCTCACCAAGTAGACTTTTTGCTCACAAGACTCCACCGCTTAGAGGGAGCATTGCTCCAGAGCAAACTAGTTTATGCAGAAGCCAACTTGCTTGCTCACAACTTTAAAACCAGTAGCTCACAAAGTGGAGGGAGCATTGCTTGCGGCTTCTTCAGAGGTGTGGGACGCCTTGCAGGTTTCAGGGCTGCACTGGCCCAATGCAATGAACCAGGTCTAGCCCAGGGGCCAGTGTAAGGTGAACTAGGAACCAGGAACTCCTGCTTCAGTCTGGGACTCAGTAATGCTGCTTTCACACAGCGATGGTGCTCCATTTTCCTTTCATAGCTGCCACAGCCACAGGCTGTCTGTGCGGTAACTTCCCTTCCCTTCCCTTCCCTTCTGAACCACCAGGTTTCTTTTTCTAGCTTTAAAAACAAATCAATAATTGACATGTTGCTATACTGATTTTTAAAGCCCCCCAAAGGCCTTCCAAGAGTGTAGGAGGGGGTGGTAGTCATGGGGGACAGAGACAAGAAAAATGGGGCTGATGTGGGGTGGGAATATCAAAATGTGCAGCTTCCTTTCCCCATAGCATGCAAAGGGGTTTGGGTTGTGGTCTTTTCCCAAAAAGATCACACCCAGCCAGGTTTGAGAAAGATTTCGGCAAATCCAGGGAGCGCACAAAAAGTTGGAGTTTAGGGGATGACGTTGCCTTGATGGTCTCCAAAATAGCACAGTGGCAAGGAAGTCAAGACAGAGCAAAACGTCTGGGTGGAAACAGCCTAAGTAGCCTTAGATAAGTGGCTGCCTCTCATCTTCAGCCTCCTACCTATACAATCGGGACAAAAATAATACTGTTCTCCATTGCAGGGTTGTTGTACTGATTACTGAGCTCATGTGTGTGTACACTGTAAGGCCCTGTATAAGTATTATTATTAAGAAGAGTGTCAGTAGGGGAAAGAGGTGGGTATGGGGCCGCAGCAGGGGATATCTTTGTGAGATAATCTCTCTGAGACTGTGTATTGTTTAAGGGCGGGGCTGTATGTTATCAGACACTGGGCTGCCACTGAAAGCGGCATCCCTGTGTTCAGTTCTCCTCCAAATCCCCTCTAGGGCAAATCTTTGTAGGATAACCTCTCTGACACCATGTATTATTTAAGGGCAGAGCTATTTGTTATCGGACACAGGGCTGCCACTGAAAGTGGCATCCCTGCATTCTGTTCTCTGCAGAATTCCCTGTAATGTGCCGTAACACTGTACAATGTGACATTACCATGTCACACATTCCCAGTCTCTGCTTTCATCATTGCCTGTGGGGACTAGGAAGTTTACAATGTGAAGAAGCCCTGTGTTTAATGTCCCTACATGTTAAAGGGAAGAGTTCAACACTGGGATGCCATTTTTTTGCAGCAGCCATAAGTCCCTGGTAACTTTACTTCTTATTGTGTTCACAACCAAAGTCATAAACCGTAGACCCTCATCCCACATAAGAACCTAGTTATCATGGAAACGTGCAAGCAGTTCCACCCTATCTGAAAATGTGTAGCTTCTGGGAATGGGAAGCCATTTCAATGGCATAAGACATCTGCAAGTTAACCTGTAAAGATCATTGCTTTGACTTCATTCCCCCACCCCCTTTCCTTGTGGCTCCTACAGCATTCTGTAGAAGTTGGAAGCTGGCAGGTTAGCAGAATTTGGTCCTGTAAAATGATACATTTGGCTTACCTATTTTCCATTTTTCTTTCTGGTGGAAACCGGCACAGCAACTTTTTTTTCTGAAGCCAACCCCATGACATGGTAACCATAAAACAAATACATATGTCAAACGTAATCTTATCTACCTGTCTCATTCAAGATTCTGCCTCTTAGATATACTCAGCAGTGTATTACTTCGTTGGAGAACCCTTGGAGGGAAGAAAGAACTTTGTTTAGCAGAACTGGGAAGGGTAGCAGAACCTGGCAGGCTCTGATTAGCGTAATCTCTGGCCCCCAGAGGGCACGTTTTTGAGCTGGATCTCAGTATTGTAAAGGGGAGATCTCAGCTAGATTGCCCCCTTTTTCAGGGGAAGGAAAGAATCAGGAAATCTATACAGTTCAGAAGTTATTTCTATGAGTAATTCCGCATAGGGCATCTAAATGACCAAATCAAAACCTTTCTAGGTGCAAAAGGGAAGGCTGATGGAGATGTGTGCAACACAAACTTTTGCTTCTGCGGGAGTTGCTGCTTTCTCATAGGAAAAATTAAGACGCAATTATAGTAAGGGCATCGTATTAAAAGAGAGAGAGAAACAGATGTGCACTGTTCATTCCAGTGGTTTCTGCTAAGCGCATGGGTGTTTGTGGTTCCTTGCTAATCATCTGTCACTATGTTTTTAGGATGGAAATTGTTTTGTCTGAGGACTTCGTACCCAAAAGGAGATCACCACAAATAAGATTAGGGGGAGGGGAGTAACTTTCCTGCACATATGGCATGGGTGGAAGAGCAGAAACAGCGTATTACGTGGTCTCCCTTATATTTTATTCATATGGATTGAAATGTAAACAGAATTGCTGATCTAGGAGGGGAATCTAAGACTAAAGAATTACAGTAGTTGAAGATTTAGAATTGAAAAGTCTGTCTGTCTGTCTCTCTCTCTCTCCCCCCTTCCCCCCCCACAAACACAGAGTTCTTCAATACACAAATCCATCAAACCATTTTTACCAGCAGTTAAAGCTGTGATCTCTTTTCCAAATCATTTTTACTCTGTCTAAAATATTCAGCCCTATGGTATTCCCAGACTACACATGGTAGAGATGGAATTTACAGTTTAGAGCAGGGGTGTCAAACATGCGGCCCGGGGGCCAGATTAGCCCCCCCCCTCCCCCGCGTCTATCAGGCCCGCAGCGGAACTGGCTGTCTTCTGCTTCTTCTTCCAGTTCTGCTGCTGCTGCATCATTGTAGGTTTGCAGCTTACAGATACACACCTGAACAGCATACTCAGGATTACAACAACACAGACATTTTGATGCAATAATTCAGGGCAAGAGGTGTCAGTTATCAGACACTGTTAAATAAGCAAAATATTGCAAGAGTGCTAATATTTTAAGCATGTTTTTATTTTAAGTAAAAGAACCACCTTTGTGTTTGTGTCCTTTATAAAGTTTATATCTCCGCTACCTGGCATTACATTTTATGACACACGTGGCCCAGCCCAACAAGATCCCATTTATGTCAGATCCGGCCCTCATAACAAATGAGTTCGACACCCCTGGTTTAGAGAGATTCCCTTCTAGTTTACACTGTTAGAGAATTGGTGACTTGTGGACTTGCCCTGAGGTCACATGGCCTTAGTTCTAGAACAAGGATTAGGCAGTGTTGTACAAGATGTTTTAGTCTGCAGTCCTACTGGCACTTTCCTGGGAGTAAGCCTCATTGAATAACATGCAACTTACTTCTGAGTAGACCTTCTAGGATCACTGACATCGTTAAAAGCTGTTAAGCCTTTCCTCATTCTCTAGAATTTACCCAAGGAGGCGACATATTGCACAGTGTCAGAAGTGGAATACAAGACTTTTTCCCCCTGTCATTTCACTATCGAATCATCTACTTAAAGTATTTGGCTTAACTCCCTAGTCTTTAACTCCAACTGGAAAAAAATAGTCTTAAGTGCACATAACTGCATTTGCACATATTCATTCTGTTCTAAAATTTATAAGACCCATGTATATTGCTGTAAATGATCTTGTGCTGGTCATGAACCATATTAATAAATGTGATTTGATATTCATCCTGTTACCATCATTTCTCACTTTTCTGCCTTTGCTTCCTTCCATCTATTGTATCCCCGGCAATCAAACTTTAGACTGGCGATCTCATCCAAGACAGCTACTTTTTGCTGTTATACTACCATGCAAAATGCCATCTATTTATTTAACTGAAAGGAAGAGTAGGGTTCCCCCCCCCCTATGTGCCATCAAGAAAAAGAGGTGGCCATCTTAAATTTGCACACAAGCTACTGTTATGTACAGTCTTGAAAAACCTCGTGTATAATCTTTTTTACAGGGATCATCTTACATTCAGGGTCATTTTCCTACTGGCTAAGCAGAATACATTGGATGGAGCTGTAAGAATGAAAACTTTTGATAGGCAACTCACTAGGCTGAACTCTGGCTCAACCTATAGGGTCCCTGTTAGAGCCAAAACTCTGTAATAACACCCTTGTATCCAAATGGAATCTTGGAGTCTTGTCTACAGCAGTGTGATGTCTACAGGTCAAAATACAAATCACAAACACTGGAAAAGAACAGAGCATTTCCACACACACAAAAAAAGCCTTTTCTTTTCTTATTTTTTATGCAGTCACTCTAGGATTTGCCTAGGGGGTAATTAAACTGTGAAGCGTTCTAGTCATCCTCAGATTTTGTTTTCGGGGTACCACACAAAAACTCAAAATGCATCTGTAGAGAAAGGCTGAGATCATTCAAGTATGCACATGCAAGGGGAATAAAAGCTTTGGGGGAGAAGTCTCTTTGTGGTTCTGCACAAGTAGGCATTCAGGGTTTGTCCTCCCTCTCCACCTCCGTTTCTGCAATACAAGGTGGATCTTCTTTTTCCGTATGTTGTCTATAGCAGCCTGACGGAGATGTCAGGTCCTCAAAGGGGAACAGTGTGCCTATATAGATGTCCCCACCAGTTTGTGGCACAGTGTTAGGGTTGCTGC